CTGAAACATACGAATACAATACCTTGAATCACTCGAACCATTGAAAGCTGGATAACAACTTAAAGGAGAAGCAAAAGCACAACGATGAGTTACGCGAAGTGCGCGATAAAACGATGAGCGTTTGGAGAATTACTCGGGTATACAAATAATTAAGGATCAATCACGTGCCGATTGCAAGTCGTTCAAAGCATTGCTGGGTGATTTCACCAGAGTCAATCTCTTCAATATGCGGCACTTCCTGAAGATACTGGAGAAGCGCGTACACTCCATTACGGTGGCACAGTATGTGCGCGAGCGTCATGATAAGAAGCAGCCGACCGAATATATTGTTAAGGATATTGTCAAATTATGCGATTGTCCGACACCGTTAAATGAGATCGTGCTCACCCAACAGTGCCCAGAGTGTGGCGAGGCCGATGCAACTAACGTCGATGATACCGTTGGTGGCGAGGGCATACAGAGCTTGAATACGGTGTTAAAGAATTTGTACGAGCGTGTCAATCAACCGGAGATGCAGTATCGCTTGCACAGTATTAGTCATTGTCGTTTGCCACATTCGCGTATACTTGCCGCAAAACGTAATAACTAAAATTTCATGGCGCTCCTTTCTCCGATGTGGAGAATTTAATTGCAATCAATTGTTATAAAATTTAAACCAAATATGTTGGATTGTAGTTGCATACATTTGTATGTGTGCAATATGCTTAGCTGGATGATGTGTGATTGTAAATTCATTGTGGCCGAAGGGGTATGATTATAAACCTCGTATATAGGAAAACATGTTAATGCCTAAATAACCTTTTTTTATAAACAAAAAACATGTTTTATTTATTTATTGGATGCTGGGTGACTTTTCTGAAGTCATGAAATTTGAGTGTTTGAGTGTTCCCAAAAATTCTTCTATAGAATAAAAAACAAAAGATCTGATATATCCGACTCATAATACTCGTGAAGAGTTGTTGAATGATCCCGATTTTTCTATATGGTCCTTTTTTTCTCTGAAAAATATACAGAATTTGCATTCAGAATTTCGTTCGAGAAGTTTGTTATTTTTTTTTCGAAAAGCATTAAATTCCACAACCACAATGTGGTGCATAGAACTCTATGTAAAATTGTACGTGACATCGTCCACTTTTAGATGAAATTTCATATCTCAGAAACTACTTGACCAATATCAACCACATGTATAACTTTATCCGGAAAATCTCATGTAACAGTTTAAAAATGGATTAAATCGGACTACAAGAGCGCTTACTTCCCATACATTAGAATTTTAAACTGCATATGACTCTTTTACCTCAGTATGATTTATGTAATGAAGAAATCGGAATAAAAATTTGCCCCGAGATACCGAATATGTGACTACAGTGCCTATGCCTGTCTTTATATCGTAAATATAAAAACATTTTTCTGATAATAATGTGCTCTTGTGTCGAAAATCGGCTCAATAGTAATTTTCTTCGAATAGCGTTTATTGAATTATTTCGCAATATTTTTTAAAATAAAAATTTTTGAAACAGCAGAGATTTGATATACACACGCTCATAAAGCAATATATACCATTTTTCATCAACAATGGCCGACACTGTTTGGAAAAAATGTTTGAGGTAAGCGATTTAACGCAAATAATCAAAACCCTATAACTAAGCTTCACAATAAGATAAATAACTGTTATTTGGTACAACGGGTTAAGAAGTGGCATCTGTGGCTTTAATAGGTTAAATAGGTTTAATGTATTTATCTCCCACACCGGCCAAGCTGTAACATCCAAATTTGCATAGAGTAAATCCTTTCGACAACTCTTAAGACAGTGTAAAAATAGGTGAGATCGGATGATAACCCCGCCCAATCCCCATATAACAGTTATGTTAAGCAGTACCAAAAGTGATATAAATCAATCAATTAACCCGTCAGAGGCATCAAATTTTATATTATATTTAGGATGCCCCAAGAGCGCTTTATATGTGCAGGTGTCAAACTTGAACGATGGACGTGACGCCGTCCACTTTTAGGTGAAATTACATATCTCTGGATCTACTCATTAGTAGTACATAACATTATTCTGACAGTCCTATGTTACAGTGTGAAAATGGGCGTAATCGGACTACAACCACGCCTACTTCCAATGAAAAGCAATTTTAAATTCCACAAATAGTTTAAGGTAAGCTATCTCGAATCTAAAAATTGTTGAAATCGGACCCATACTGTTCAAAACACCTTATACCGAATATATGGAAGATCTTTTCCCGAAAGTATTTGTCCATCTATGAGATAGAATATTGAAATTCAGAGAGAAAGCTTCTTTCATATTAATATACCCTTGTGTCAAAAATGGTTTAAATCGACTCTATACTGTCCTGAGCCCCCATATACCTAATATAAAGATTTTCGAACTTCCAGTTGACTTTATACAGCATATATTGGGCAACATGTGAGTTATTTTAATGAAATAGAGAAGAATAGTTTTTCTAATAACAGAGTATGTTTGTGACTAAAATGGATAAATTTGGGTGAAAACTTACTCCAACCTCCATAAAATTAATATTCAGCTTTTTGAAACTTCGAGGTGACTTTTCTTCATATATATGTACAAGTATACCTAGTATATTCTTGATGTTATGTGGGGTATCCTAAAGAAACTTTGAAAGCATCTTCTTCTCTTAATAATATGTATGTGGTATTGCCAAAATTGCCATTATTTTTTATATACTCAATAAAATATTATATTATCAAACTTTTGGTTGGCATTTTACCGTATAACATAAGAGTATGTCAATCAACTTATAAGATATCTTAGCAAAATTAACTGAACGTATAATATTGGATATGCTATAGTTTAATGCCGAAAATATGTGATTTTAGTCTAGGAATTACCCCAACTCCCATACGAGGATATATACCATATTATGATTTTCTCTTTTCTCACAAACCTTATGCCGAATTTGTCGTTCAGTGTGTGAGTTATTAATACAATCAGCCATTCCATTTCTCTGCCCTCAATATATTCTATATAATGATTTCCGACTACAGTGAGGTGGTAAACCATTTATGTTGGTCTGAATATGTGATATTTTAATGAAATTAAGTGGACAAGCTTTTTTAAAAATTATGTGGCTTATCGTTTAATATGAATCGAATTATGTTAGACCTTGGTCCAAATCTCATATCCCTAATGAATTGAATTTCGATTCTCTGATTGACGATTTCCACATTAACTCAATATATTAAATTTAGCCTCTTGAGTCGAGTTGAGTTTATGTCAAGTATAAGTCTATGGTATGGTGTACAGTGGTTTTGTTGCCCTAGATATAGGGTCGATATAAACAGAGAGACAAATGTCGAAAATATATATTATATCTCAATTAAATGAGTTTTTCCCTTATAATTTTAATGTTGACAATGTTTATTTAAGGATCAGCAATAAACTGCAGTACCGGGATGATCCCATTAATTTTGATAACTTTCTTCCACTACTTTTAGATCCAAGTGGAACCGCTCTCTTTGTTTCTCACTATAACTATCTTAATTATCCGAAAATGTATCGAAATGATTGCGGATATAGTCTAATTATTTTCTTCTAGAGTATTAAAGTTTGTCAGCATATTTTCTTCATAATTTGATGCTTTGTGGTTACCTAGAAAAATTTCTAGTATCAACACTACACTTTTCCCAGCCTCACTTTCCGAAACAGTCATAACTTTGATAAAATCTATATCTTTGATGAATTGCCGTACTGGAGAATCAACAAATAGTCCACTTTTCATCTTTTCTATAACAAGATTAGGGAATTTTCTATTTACTTAATATAAACAAAATTCTTCCACTTCCAACTCTTTAACAAATTGCTTCATCATTCCAAAATTGATTACGTTTTAAATTATTGATTTCATTTTGAGAAAATAACTTTGGAGTAGATGTTTCACCTTACCTTTAACTTTCACTGATAGATTGTAACGATTTTTGGGGATTTGGAGAATTCAAACTTAGCTTTTCATTGATTAAAACTGACGATAGATTTTGATATCTCCATAAATGGTTTGATTTTTATTAAATCTTAAAACAAATAATTTTTTGCATACTTTCTTAGAAAAATTCGTAATCTGGACACTTGAAACCATCGAAATTAGCAAGATATCTAGGTCAGCAAAAAAATAATACTTTTGTAGAGCTGTGTAATAGGGTATAAGTTAAAAAGCTACAAATCTAATAGTAATCCATTCACGATTTCGTCGAACAATGAATGTTGAATTCTTTTGCAACAACTTTTTAAATAAAGTTTTGCCAACACCTGTAGTAATTTCCCCGGCTTTGATCCTTGCAAGTTGCAAGAGTATAAAATGTTCGGTTACACCCGAACTTTGCCCTTTCTTACTTGTTAAGATGTATAATTTGGATTTATCTATATTTTTGAAATCAATGGTTAAGAAAATGCTATTTTAAATGAAAAAAAATTGCCGAAATCTAAAAAAAAATCAAAAATTGCACGTATGATGAATTACCATAAAATGGAATTAATCTCTAGGCCTAAAAAATAATGAAAAAAAATCTACGAATAATGAATGATTCAGCCTAAATGTATAATAAAAATAAAAAGTTCACTGTTTCCGCCCACTTTTAAATAAAGTAGCGGTTACTCGGTTTTTGGTTACTTCATGAAACTTAAAAAATTGTATAGAGAGCTGGAATCCAACGATCTTCGCTGAATTCTCAAAGCAGTAAGTATTCCTAAACTTGGATTGGAACTAACACTGAACAAGATTAAAAATTAATATTATTGGGTACACATGATCTTTTGGGCAAAGATTTTATTCCTCATACTTTATGTGTTGGATTTGTTTAAAAAAAGTTGCCTTATTGCAACTCTGATGATGGCCTTAATTTACTTTATTCAGTTTATAGTATTTTTGAAGTACCTATTGACGGTTTTCAAACCCCATTATTAACTTGGTAGCTCAGTTTTCTACTACTTCATATAGCTGTCAATAAAATTTTCTACACATTTTATTCGACTTATAGCAGAGGAACCGAACGGTAGCGTTCATTTAAATACGCATTTTATTTTTTTACACAATCAAGTTTTTACACTATCCCGAGTATATTTTGCATAACACTTGTAATTTTGCAATTTATAAGTATAGTGCTAGGAATTATCTAACGAAATTCTTTACAACGGCAACAACATGGCGGAAGCTACAAGTCAAGAGTTCAACAAGAAGACCTTCCTCGAGCATTACTGGCAAAAGCAGAAAGAGCTCACCCGCCGACAGCGTCAATATAAGACGATACTATCGACGAAATTGAGCACGCGCAAAGAGACGATCATGACGCAAAGTTACCAAAACACCATCGATCAATTGAATTTAGAGAAGGATACATTGCGTGCACAAATTTGGGTTGCCAGCGGCGAAACGCATCGACGTCAAAGCAATCGTGCGCTGTCCAATATACAGTGTCATGTGGCGTGTCAGGAGCATTTAGCCGACGATATACGCTATTATAAAGAATCTACAATGAATTTGCAACGCGAAATTAGTCGCGTGAACAAACAAGTCTACGAACTGAATAGACGCACGGTGCCCGATACACAGCATCAAGCGTATGTGGCTCGCATGCGCAAGAAACTGGACATATTGGAGAATCAGCTAGAGGTGGGCGTGCGAACCGAGTGCGCTTTCGCGGCGATTAATAGCGAATTGCGCGAAGATTTGATAATGTTGCTGCAACATCGCACCACTTTCAATGAAGCCTACACGAAGTTGGTGCAAAAGTTGAACAGCGATAGAAAATATATAGTGGATCTGATCGAATATGCTTTAGCCACTTTCGAGAGTTGCATACACGCCTACGAGAAAATAAATATACTGACGAAGAAAGATGCGCAGGATCGTGAAATGAAAATGGTCGAAATGCAGGCGATCATGCGGAATAGAGCGGCCGAAGACGCGAAATTTGAATTTTTGGATTGTAAAGCGCACGAGAGAATAATTGATGACTTGCAACCGAAAGAGTATCGGCGGCGTGAAAAATTCAGGCAGAAACATCGTAAGCGTATCGACTTGTACAATACAATATTGCAGAAAATTTTAGATTACACCAATTCCACCGACGTCGATGCGGTCATTAACAAGTTCCAAGAGCAAGAGAGTCTCTATTATTCATACTTTAATTACGCCAATGAAATGAGCTATCACATGACTTTACTAAATAATTCCGTTAATCGGTTGCTTAATGAAATTTTCGAACTGAAACATACGAATCACAATACCTTACAGAATCAACTCGAGACCATTGAAAAGCTGGATAACAACTTAAAGGAGAAGCAAAAGCACAACGATGAGTTACGCGAAGTGCGCGATAAAAACGATGAGCGTTTGGAGAAATTACTACAGGGTATACAAATAATTAAGGATCAATCACGTGCCGATTGCAAGTCGTTCGAAGCATTGCTGGGTGATTTCACCAGAGTCAATCTCTTCAATATGCGGCACTTCCTAAAGATACTGGAAAAGCGCGTACACTCCATAACGGTGGCACAGTATGTGCGAGCGACGCGTTAAGAAGCACCGAGCGAATATATTGTTAGGATGTTGTCATGCGATTGTCCGACACCGTTAGATGATCGTGCCACCCAACAGTGTCCGAGTGTGGCGAGGCCGATGCCACCAACGTCGATGATACCGAAGGTGGCGAGGGCATCAGAGCTTGAATACGGTATTGAAGAAATTGTACGAGCGTATCAATCAACCGGAGATTCAGTATCGCTTGCACAGCATTATCAGTGTCGTTTGCCACATTCGCGTATACTTGCCGCAAAACGTAATGGCTAAAATTTATGTCGTCCTTTCTCCGATGGAGAATTTAATTGCAATCAATTATAAACTCGTATATAGGAAAACATGTTAATGCCTAAAACTTGTTTTTATAAAAACGTTTTATTTATTTATTGTGATGGGTGAATGTGAAAGATTTTATTTTCTCAAATTCCTGAAAGTTTCTTTTCAGCAAAATACAAAAGCTCTGCCAAATCACATTACTCATGTACAAGTGGAGAGAATAATTTTCTAGGTTTTCTTCCTTGTCTCTGAAAAATATTCAGTAATTTCAATTAGAGTATATGCAATTGCCATCAAAACGAATTATTTTGATGTATTTGAGCATATTCTCCGAAACTTGAAGTTGAAGTTTTTTTAACTTTGTTTACTCGGCTACTAAAACTTTAAACGCGTTTTTCCGAACGCTGCTTTGGAGTCGGTAAGAAAATTTCTCCAAAATGGTTGGACCTATCTGCTTGTATTTTTCACCTTCTTAGATATACAAGCTCTTGTCAGGCAATAGGAATGAATAAGTTTTGATAATAATAAAACAACTTCATTTAGGCAGCCACCATTTTGTCAAAACCAAAATGTTTATTCGATTTTAAGAGAATTTTGAGTAGAGAAATCATCTTTTATGGAGATCGGCTACTGAAGAAGGAATCCAAACCGAATCGCGATTATTATTAAACTCTGTAAATGTAAATTGTTTTATTTGTATATTAAATGAAATGCCTGTACAAATTTGTTTATTCAGTTGC